GTGATTCCGGTACATGTGCTTGCAACTGATCGTATTGTGGAAACGCACCTTAAAAAAATCGTTATCTTACGATCTTTTCAGAGGTGGCACAGATGGCAGAGAGAAATGGCGAATCTATCCATGTGGTTTATACCGTGGGAAGTGAAAATAAAAGAGATAGAATCACATTTTGGATCAGTGGTCGCGTCTTATTTCATATTTTTGAGATGGCTTGTTCTGGGTGAATATAGTGATATCAGTAGTTTTGATATCTTTTGTGGTCATACCAGAGGTAAGTAAATGTCGAATTTTTTAACTTCCTATTACGAATCTTTTGAGATTTGCACGATTTGCATTTTAAACGTTTTCGAAACTACCAAAATCTATATACTTACATTTTCAAATATTTATTATTTTCAAAATTTCCAGAACTCAGATTTTCCAGAATATTGAGGATTCAGAAATTTTGAATATCCTGAATAGATTTGGAAATTCTGAGAACTGAAAATCTTGGGAATCCTGAAAACTAAAATCTTAGAATATGAATATTAAATACTGTTTTAGAAATTTTGACAGTTCCAGAAGTTTTGAAAATTTTTTAAATTCTGAAAATTGTTGAAATCGTTGTTTTTAAATATTTTGGAATCCAGAAAATTTTGAAAATTCTAATAGTAGTGGAAATTTTGATAACCATGACAATTCTGAAAATTCTGAAAATTTTGAAAATGTCCAAAAATGGTAATTTTTAACTCAGAATTTAAAAACTTAAAAATTTAGAAAGTTTGAAAATTTGAAAATTTTGTAAATTTTGAAAGCTGAATTAAGAAATTTGAAAATCTTGGACAGATTTGAAAACTGAGAACTGACAATTTTAAAAATTTTGAAAATCTTGAAAATTTTTATTCTTTGAAAGTTTCGGACAGATTTGAAAACGGAGAACTGACAATTTTGAAAATTATGAGAATTTCATGAAATTTTGGAAATTTTTATAATATGAAAATTTTGTAAACATGAATTTGAGTCCGAAATTACCGAAATTCTGAAAAATTTTAGATCAAAAATTTTGGCATTCCAATATTTTCGAATTTTCAAAATACCCATTATTTTCGCAATCTTGCAAATTCCCAGAAGTTTAGATCTTTCCATAATTTTGAAGATTAAAAAATTTTGAAGATTCAAAAATTTTGAAGATTTTCCAGGATATTGAGGATTCAGAAATTTGAAAATCCTGAATAGATTTGGGAATTCTGAGAACTGAAAATCTTGGGAATCCTGAAACTAAAATCTTGGAATATATAAAATTTTAGAAAATGTTTTAGAAATTTTGACAGCTCCAGAAGTTTTGAAAATTTTATAAATTCTGAAAATTCTTTGAAATCCTATTTTAAAATTTTGGAATTCAGAAAAATTTTGAAAATTCTAATATTAGTGGAAATTTTGATAACCATGACAATTTTGAAAATTCTGAAAATTTTGAAAATGTCTAAAAATGGTAATTTTTAACTCAGAACCCAGAACTTGAAAATTTAGAAAGTTTGAAAATTTGAAAATTTTTGTAAATTTTTAAAGCTGAATTAAGAAATTTGAAAATCTTGGACAGATTTGAAAACTGAGAACTGACAATTTTGAAAATTTTGAAAATCTTGAAAATTTTTATTTTTTGAAAATTTCGGACAAATTTGAAAACGGAGAACTGACAGTTTTGAAAATTATGAGAATTTCATGAAATTTTGAAATTTTATATTTTGAAAATTTTGTAAACTTGAATTTGAGTCTGAAAGTACCGAAATTCTGAAAAATTTAGATTAAAAATTTTGGCAGTACAATATTTTCGAATTTTCAAACTACCCATTATTTTCGAAATCTTGCAATTCCCAGAAGTTAGATCTTTCATAATTTTGAGGATTCAAAAATTTTGAAGATTCAAAAATTTTGAAAATCCTGCGAAGATTTGAAAACTGTGAGAACTAAAAGTTCGAAAACGACGGCAATTTTGAAAACTGCGAAAATTTGAAAATCCATTAAAAAGAATGAAAATTTGAAATTTTGTCCAATTTTGAAAGCTGAATTAAGAAATTTGAAATCTTGGACAGATTTGAAAACTGAGAACTGACAATTTTGAAAATTTTGAAAATCTTGAAAATTTTATTTTTTGAAATTTCGGACAGATTTGAAAACGGAGAACTGGCAATTTTGAAAATTATGAGAATTTTATGAAATTTTGGAAATTTTTATATTTTGAAAATTTTGTAAACTTGAATTTGAGTCTGAAAGTACCGAAATTCTGAAACATGTTAGATAAAAAATTTGGCAGTCCATATTTTCGAATTTTCAAATACCCATTATTTCCGAAATCTTGCAAATTCCCTGAAGTTAGATCTTTCATAATTTTGAAGATTCAAAAATTTTGAAGATTCAAAAATTTTGAAGATTTTCCAGAATATTGAGGATTCAGAAATTTTGAAAATCCTGAACAGATTTGGAAATTCTGAGAACTGAAATCTTGGAAATCCTGAAAACTAAAATCTTAAAATATATATGAAACATTAAAAATGTTTTAGAAATTTGACAGTTCCAGAAGTTTTGAAAATTTTATAAATTCTGAAAATTCTTTGAAATCCTTGGTATTTTAAAAATTTTGGAATTAGAAAAATTTTGAAAATTCTAACAGTAGTGGAAATTTTGATAACCATGACAATTTAGAAAATTCTGAAAATTTTGAAATGTCCAAAAATGGTAATTTTTAACTCGGAATTTAAAAACTTGAAATTTAGGAAGTTTGAAAATTTGCAAATTTTGTAAATTTTGAAAGCTGAATTAAGAAATTTGAAAATCTTGGACAGATTTGAAAACAGAGAACTGACAATTTTGAAAATTTTGAAATCTTTGAAAATTTTTATTTTTTTGAAAATTTCGGACAGATTTGAAAGCGGAGAACTGACAATTTAAAAATATGAGAATTTTATGAAATTTTGGAAATTTTTATATTTTGAAAATTTGGTAAACTTGAATTTGAGTCTGAAAGTACCGAAATGCTTAAAATTTTAGATTAAAAATTTTGGCAGTCCATAGTTTCAAATGTTCAAATACCCATTATTTTCGAAATCTTCCAAACTCCCAGAAGTTAGATCTTTCATAATTTTGAAGATTCAAAAATTTTGAAGATTCACAATTTTGAAGATTTTCCAGAATATTGAGGATTCAGAAATTTGAAAATCCTGAATAGATTTGGAAATTCTGAGAACTGAAAATCTTGGGAATCCTGAAAACTAAAATCTTGGAATATATAAAATTTAAAAAAATGATTTAGAAATTTTGACAGTTCCAGAAGTTTTGAAAACTTAATAAATTCTGAAAATTCTTTGAAATCCTATTTTAAAAATTTTGGAATTCAGAAAATTTTGAAAATTCTAATAGTAGTGGAAATTTTGATAACCATGACAATTTTGAAATTCTGAAAATTTTGAAAATATCCAAAAATGGTAATTTTTAACTCAGAACCCAGAACTTGAAAATTTAGAAAGTTGTGAAAATTTGAAAATTTTGTATATTTTGAAAGCTGAATTAAGAAATTTGAAAATCTTGGACAGATTTGAAAACGGAGAACTGACAATTTTGAAAATTATGAGAATTTATGAAATTTTGGAATTTTTATATTTTGAAAATTTTGTAAACTTGAATTTGAGTCTGAAAGTACCGAAATTCTGAAAAATTTAGATTAAAAATTTTAGCAGTCCAATATTTTCGATTTTCAAAATACCCATTATTTTCGAAATCTTCCAAATTCCCAGAAGTTAGATCTTTCATAATTTTGAAGATTCAAAATTTGAAAATCCTGCGAAGATTTGAAAACTTTGAGAACTAAAAATTTCGATAACGACGGCAATTTTGAAAACTGCGAAAATTTGGAAAATTGTGAACTATTAAAATGATATGAAAATTTGAAAATTTTTAGTTTTGAAAATTTTAGAAATATTGAAAATTATGAAATCTCGACGATTCAAAAACTTTGGAACCTCGAAACTATTGAAAGTTTGAAAGTTGTAAAAATTTTGACAATTTTCAAGATTTTTATAATTCTGAAAAATTTAGAAACTGAAATGTTGCAGAATTTAAAAAAATTGAAATTATTACAATTTTGAAAATTCTGAAAACTGAAAAGCTTGAAGGGTTAAACATTTGTACAGTTTAGAAAATTTGAAGCGTACAAATTTTGTGAATTCTGGAACATTTCCAAATTTTTGGAACTTATGGCAGCGGTCACAGCATAAGGCTAGATCACACCGGAGTTGTCAGGTTCAGCGTGAAGGGTGGCCTAAGCCTTTAGCACCCTGATGGTTGATATCGGAACAAAAATCAAACACTGACTCACTGTTTCCTTGACAGAAATTTCCAAATACTGCAAAATGCATACACAACGTGAGGCGATACGATTTCAAGTTCATCTTCGTAAGTGTTGATAACAATAACAATGCTCACCTTCAATAATATAGTTTATTAAAACAATTTGCGTTGGAAGTGGGACAAATCGAATAAACAAAGATGGCGGTGATCTGCGAAAAAAAAATAGATTTCGACACGTTTATTTTATTAGACGATGTGGGTAGTGCCAGTTGTGCTGGTGTTATTTTGTGATTTTTTCGCAAACGGCAGTGCTTCGATTTTCCCGCTTTTTCCTGAACGCTCTACCATTATTCGCCGCCAGAAAATGACGTTTATTTCTATATGTACACAGGTAAGTGAGACCATTACATTTATTAATAATTAATTCTTATCAAAGAAATGAAAAGGGTTTCTTTAATCAGAAATAAGGTCCCTGCTACTTTTCTGCAAAAAAAAGAGTAAAGTAGGTTGACTCGTCCACGAGCGCGTCTTCTCTTTTTACATAACCAGAACTCTGCGTTGCGTTGACTCTTAACGAAACACGTGTTACGAACACCTTTCGGCACGTGCACCTTAATTGAAAGGAAGTCTGTTACACGGCTGGGCGTGCATCCGTATTCTCGAAACTGCGAATGTTTGTAATGAAATCTGCTAGACTGCGATAATTTTCCCGCGGAGATACGTTGGGGGATGTTCTCTATTTAATTGTGCAAGTTTTCGGATAAGCACATCGCAGAGGAATTGCTCCGATATTTTATATCAAGTACTTAAAGTACCTTAAAAAACTCGGCATAACAAAAAAAGATATTGCTCGTATCCATGCGACATTAAGGCCCGATTTTACTATTAACCGGTGAGAAACAAAATTTGCGCCTATAGCAAATTGGGCAGTAGTAGTGAACAGTATTGGATCTAATGAATTTGATCGAGTGCTTTCAAACTAGACTAAATGTTCGCAAACGTGAGTCTTAGGTCATATTTTCAAGTAGAGATCAGGACACGCTATTATTTTCTTGTTTGTTTTTGGACCAGCAAAAATGATGTGAATGAGAGACCAAAATTAAATGTGAGTTCTTAACGTTTTCAGGAGCAATCTGTCACATGCCACCCAATCATAATCGGCAACCGGAGCACACTAGATTACTCTCCATTCGATCCAGAAATAGCAACAGTTATTATTATCCATGGATGGACACACGGAAAAGATGTGCCTTGGATAAAAGAAATGAGAGAAGGTGGGTATCAAACCAACACGAAGTTGTTAGGACTTGCATGTTTGAAAGTTATGAGGGTCTGGGGGTTTTAGGAGCTTTAGAGGTTTGGAATGTTTACGGTTTTGAGAGCTTCCGGAGCTTTATAGATTTTTCAGAGCTCTCAGAGTTTTAGCAGATCCAGGGGTTTTATTACTTTGAGGAGTTTTGAAGTTTGGGAGTTTTAGAGCTTAAAGAATTTTGGAAGTTTTGGGAGTTTTTGGAGTTCTGGGGGTTTTAGGAGCTTCAGTTGTTTTAAGAGCTTTACAAGTTTTAGGAGTTGTATGAGTTTTGAGAGTTTTAGTAGTTCTAGGAGTTTTGGCGGTGGTAAAGGTTTTAGGAGTTTGATGAGCTCTGGGAGTTTTGTAAGTTTTATGAGTAACGGAGTTTCAAGACTTTTAGGAGTTTTGGGGTAAGTAGTTTTGGACGTTTCAGGAGTTTCAGGAGTCTTGGGGTTTCAGGAGTTTTGGGAGTTTAAGGAGCTATGGACTTCTCAGAGTTTCACGAAATTTTGAACCTAAAGACGTTTTAGGAGTTATGGAAATTTTTGCAGTTCGAGGAGTTTCATGAGTTTTATTAGTTTTTTTTTAGTTTTTGAGTTTTTTGAGTTTTTTAGTTTTTTGAGCTTTTGAGTTTTTTTTTGAGTTTTATGAGTTTTATTAGTTTTAAGAGTTTATGATTTTTAAGAGTTTTAAGAGTATTATGAGTTTTATGAATTTTATGAGTTTTATGAGTTTATGAGTTTTATGAGTTTTATGAGTTTTATGAGTTTTATGAGTTTTATGAGTTTTATGAGTTTTATGAGTTTATGAGTTTTATGAGTTTTATGAGTTTATGAGTTTTATGAGTTTTATGAGTTTATGAGTTTTATGAGTTTTATGAGTTTTATGAGTTTTATGAGTTTTATGAGTTTTATGAGTTTTATGAGTTTTATGAGTTTTATGAGTTTATGAGTTTTATGAGTTTTATGAGTTTTATGGTTTTATGAGTTTTATGAGTTTTATGAGTTTTATGAGTTTTATGAGTTTTATGAGTTTTATGAGTTTTATGAGTTTTATGAGTTTTATGAGTTTTATGAGTTTATGAGTTTTATAAGTTTTATGAGTTTTATGAGTTTTATGAGTTTTATAAGTTTTATGAGTTTTATGAGTTTTATGAGTTTTATGAGTTTTATGAGTTTTATGAGTTTTATGAGTTTTATGAGTTTTATGAGTTTTATTAGATTATGAGTTTTTTATTTTATTAGATTATGAGTTTTATGAGTTTTATGATTTATGAGTTTATGAGTTTTATGAGTTTTTAGTTTTATGAGTTTTATGAGTTTTATGAGTTTTATGAGTTTATGAGTTTTATGAGTTTTATGAGTTTTATGAGTTTATTAGATTATGAGTTTTATGAGTTTTATGAGTTTTATGTTTTTATGCGTTTTATGAGTTTATGAGTTTTATGAGTTTTATGAGTTTTATGAGTTTTATTAGTTTTATGAGTTTATGAGTTTTATGAGTTTTATGTTTTATGAGTTTTATGAGTTTTATGAGTTTTATGAGTTTTATGAGTTTTATGAGTTTTATGAGTTTTATGAGTTTTATGAGTTTTATGAGTTTTATGAGTTTTATGAGTTTTATGAGTTTTATGAGTTTTATGAGTTTTATGATTTTTATGAGTTTTATGAGTTCCGTGAATACACCGAAGAGTTTCAGGAGTTTTAAGAGTTTCAGGAGCTTTGGGGGCTTCAGAAGTTTTAGGTGTCTTTTGACTTATCGATGTTTAATTAGTTTCATGAGATTTAGGAGTTTTAGGAGTTTCAATAGCCTTAGGATTTTGGAAGTTTTGGGAGTATTAAGAGAATACAGAAGTTTTAAGAGTTTCAGAAGTTTTAGGGCTTTTTAACTTATTAAAGCTTTAGGAGTTTCAGGAGATTTAGGAGTTATGGGAGTTTTAGGATTTTACTAGTTTTGGAAGTTTTAGGAGTTTCAGGAGCTTTGAGAATTTTGGGGAGTTTTGAAAGTTTCTCTTTAGAAACTTTTTTTGAGAGGTTTTAAAGTTTTGGCCTTGAATGGTTGGATGCTTGTGTAAGTTCTGAGAATATCAAAAAGTTGTAAAAATGTTTCAGTCATGGCTCAAAGCGGTTACTGGAATGTGATAGTGCTAGACTGGGGCGCCTTATCACACTGCATGTACATAGAGCCAGGGTGCACACGCTTGTCGTGGCGAAGCAGCTGAGGCGCTTTCTACTGTTTCTAGTAGACAATGCAGATGTCAATTTGGACGGTGCATATGATTGGACATAGTATGGGTGCCCACATTTCTGGAGATGCTAGTAGACAAATTTGGAAGAGAACTGGTCGGAAAATTGGTAGGATCACAGGTGAGAAATAGGCTAATAGAAGAAGTTCAAAGTATCAGTATAAAGCCGTATATTACTCAGTTATATTTTTTTACATCAACGATATCTGAAGTACTAGGGGAAAAAATATAATAGGGAATTCCATGTATATTAATTTTTGTTGTTCTAGGCTTGGATCCTGCAGCTCCTCTCTATGAATGGCCGCACGTCGAGTCTCTCGATGAGCTTTTGGATCGAACAGACGCAAATTTCGTTGATGGAATTCATACAAACGGCCGCCATTTGGGCGTGATGACGCCTGTTGGACACGTAGACTTTTACCCTAATGGAGGAGAGGCCCAGCCTGGTTGTCCGCTTTGTGAGTATAAAATACGTACAGGGTGTTCTAGTCATTACTCCAGAATTACCCATACTAAGCCTCATGTTTCGTGTTCCCCTCTAAAGCTTACGATTCGATGAACACATGTCTTAAAAATAGGTATGCACATTTGACAATTCATTTCGTCATGAAGAGTATTTGCTCGACCTGCTGACAATATTTTGTATCATTCCAGGGGTGTGTAGCCACATAAGGGCTGTCGAGTATTGGATAGCATCTCTATCGAAACCGGACCTGTTCAAGGCCTATCCGTACGACGCCTATAACAGACACCTGGAAGAGAGGATTGGAGAACAACCCCTTACCGCTTATCCAATGGGAATTGACGCAAACCCTAATATGCCGTTCGGAGTTTATTACGTCGATACAGCTTTTGAGTACCAGAAATACGTGCATAGCGTGACGTCGCTTATCGATAGCCTTGTCTGAATAAAGTGGAAATATGTGAATGTGTATTTATTTTGCTTTCCAAACTGACTGTCCCGGAAAATAGGTAACTGTTCCTACAATTTTTGAGTCAGTATTTTTTTTGGTAGTAGTAGAGATTTAGTTACTCCATTACATAAGAACAATAACAACATAGAATGGGTAAATAAATGTTTCAATCCGCACAAGGACAATGCCTGTACATGGATCAGTTGTATGTTGGAATGTGTTCCAAAATCAAAACAAAAGTTCAAAGAAACTTAACGAAAAAACTTATATCAAAGAGCATAATAATTTTTAAGCAATATTTGATGGGAATTCAATAATATATGTTGTCTTCCTATTATGGTATTCATTTTGATAATTTCTTTTTAAAATTATGTGTGCTTCGAAATTGTTTCAAGTCTTTGGGTAAGTCTTCATATAATTTCAGAGCCAAATACAGAACAGATCGCTTCATGGTTTTATGAAGTTTAGGGACAGCTTTTGCTCGGCATTCATATCGAGTATCACGGCAGTGTGTGATTATATCGCTCTCACTAATAACTTTGGGTTTTATGAATTCCACGAGTGTTATGAATTTTATGACTTTTATGACTTTTGCGACTTTTATGACTTTTATGACTTATGACTTTTATTACTTTTATGACTTTTATGGGCTTTTATGACTTTTATGACTTTTATGACTTTTATGACTTTTATGACTTTTATGACTTTTATGACTTTTATGACTTTTATGACTTTTATGACTTTTATGACTTTTATGACTTTTATGACCTTTATGACTTTTTGACTTTTATGACTTTTATGACTTTTATGACTTTTATAACTTTTATGACTTTTATGACTTTTATTACTTTTATTACTTT